TACTTGTCCCTTCAAAAAATCCAGTTGTCCCGGACAAGCGGACAAGCGTTAATGTCGAGCCCTGTAGTATGGTGCAGGGACAGTTACATGTGCAGTCGACATTGTTGAGGGTTTTAAGGCCTGTTCACACTGGGACCGACGTTTAATGCCTCGTGACTAAACAAAGGGCGCCAATGTGAGTGTGCACACCGACACGAAAAACGGCACGCGTAAAAGCGTCATTTTTTTTAAAACGCCTCTGGTTCGTTTTTTTAGTTTGGCGCGCCGCGTCAAAAACTATCCGACCAATGAGATTGACGCTTTTGCTCACGTGTCTGGAGCTTCTGAAGTTACAGTAAAACACAACTTGGGGCGCTCAAAGACAAAACAGTCTTGCCGAGCACACATACGTAACGGCGCAGAAGATATACGCCAAGTAGCGTCTACACAGCCGGGAAGAAATAAGACGAGGAAGATGCAAGGCTAGATGAATGTAGAGCTGCTGGTCTCGTTGGTGTCGGAACATAAAGAACTATATGACAAACGCGACAGCGACTACAAAAATCTTGATAAAAGAGAATGTTATGGAGTGGTATTGCAGAGCAAATGGGCGCCATCTAATGTCAGGGAATGAATTTGCATGTTCACTCGGCTCATCGTCAGCGAAAATCGCTTGGGTGTGAACACAAAAAACGTGTTGAAAAACGCTGGCGAATAACGCGCGCCGATATTGTTTTTTTTTTATATTGTTGTATGTTTTTTTCATCTGATCTTTTGTCCCCACCACTTTTCAACACAAACTGACGCCCCTGGTTTTCAACATTGATTATGGTAGGCTAATAATAATAATACACGTTTCTAGAGCAGAAAATCGTCATATTAGACTGATTTCTGAAGGATCATGTGACACTGAAGACTGGAGTAATGATGCTGAAAATTCAGCTTTGATCACATATATTCAAATACAAAATATTTATTTTCAATTGTAATAATATTTTAAAATATTACTAATTTTGCTGTATTTTTAATCAAATAAATGCAGCTTTGGTAAAAAATTAAATAAGAGACTTTAAAAAAAAAACATTTAAAAATATGCCTGCAGCTAGGAAAGCAATAGACAGCAATGCAGCTTGGTGCTTATATAGGTTTATCTTTTACTGGAAGCCTATTTATCTTGCCTTTTTCTGAATAATTTCAATCATATTAAGGGTTTGATGGCCCGATCTTTGTTCTGTGGTTTGGTTGTATAATTGCTGGTTGCAGTGCAGGGGCTGTAATACCTCTCAGTAATGCAATCCATTCCCACTCTGCCACAACTAACTAAACTCGAAATAACTGGCTATATGGGATTTGGATATCTTGGAGTGTGCGAGTGCTCCACGTTTGCATGTGAGCGGGTTCATGACGCACACATAAACTGAGGAAAATTTATAATCACTGCATCCTTTTGCCAAAGGGTAGTTGAAAAGTTCACCACACTTATTCACTAAGCAGCAGACCCGCTTTTAACACATAACAGTACACTCATACTCGGGCTAATCTTGCTCTAGGAATAAGAGCCGAGTTTCAGGTTTGGTCGAGATGTCATCTCATCTCATAATTATCTCAGGTAACAGCAACAGCGTCGAGCAAAACTGTTGACTCACAGGGCTAAAGCTAAAAATCCCCTCTAAGAATAGCTTCATGTATAAAGTCTAAAACTCACAAATCCAAATCCAAACTGTCCACATCACTTACCATGTTTTAGTGCTCAGTTTAGGTGAAAATTCAAAAGGAAGCATGAACTTCACCTTTTGAAGTAACTTAAAATCAACGCTGAATCAACATGCACCAATGCTACATTTTTCTAAAAGTCCTAATCATTTGTTAACAAACAAGTATTCATTATTTCAATGAGCTCATTGTTTCTGCATTAAATTATTACATTGTTTAAATGACTTTTTTGCTAACTGTGATTTTCTATATAATAGCCGACATAACTTAGACAGTTACCTCTGATAACAGATCACTCTAAATTGTAATGTGGACTCATGCATTTTCTGTAAAGCTGCTTTGAAATTATGTGTATTGTGAAAAGCACTATACAAATAAATGTGAATTGAATTAAAAACGTTTTGCTGTGTTTACCAATCATATGCTATAGGCTACCAGCCTAACTTAAAACATCTTGATTGCTAAATATATCATAGTGATGTTGCATTTAAAAATATTTGACAAGTTCAAGTCCTGGGTGAGCATTTGGCATTGGCGCAACTAAATAGTGTGTCAGTGCTACTTTAGGTGAATGTCGGAAGTGTAATGTGACACCATTGATGATTTCACAAGACAGCAGCTCTAAATAGCCTAGCTGTTTCCACCTTAAAACTGTACATCTAAATGGCAGATCTTTGAACTTAAAGTAGCCCTAATCCTTCAAGTATAAAGGCCAAGAATTATAACAATAAAGATATGCCTATAACGTCAACTTTGCGCATGATAACGTCCTGTCATCTACCGCTTTAAAGGAATACTGCACCAAAAATGAAAATTCAGTGATGAATCCTAAAACAAGCTATAAGCTGCATTAGCATAACAATACCATGAAATGGATGGAATAAATAATGAACTAAACATGAATACTGCCAGTTGACTCACTGTTTTTGTTGATGAATAAAATAATGTTCTCAATTTGAACAGACAACGTATCAAAAAAGCAGCAGGGAAGACATAAAAGAACTAGCCTAAAGATCTGCTAATTGTCTTAGCCAGTTGAGCTCAATGTGTAAACTAGCCGTTCTGACGGAAACACTGAGACGTTATAGCGTGCAATTATTTTTATTGTAGTGTTATCACCATAATCTTGCAAAGTTTTTCCACCACTTGTGCTATTAGGCTTAGTTTTATCAAAAGGTAAACTCATGTTTTGAAAGCAGTTCTGTTTATGCTCTACACTCACACCCTTATCTTTCTCCCTCTCCTTATCTTCCTCACTGTGTGAGCCGATGCTGCCATCACCAACACTATCATCATCATCATCATCATCAGCCACGGGAGCTGATGAAGGCCCTGCTGCTGCTGCAGAAAACATCTCCGTGTCCAAGTCCGTGTATGAAATCTGCTCTGCATGATCCTCTTGTTCGTTAACATTGTCAGGGTCTGAATCTGGCTTGAATTGGTTTGAAATTGACGCCATCCTTATTCATATTTAGAGAAGATATTCTACTACACCCCAAAAACAAAATCAAAAGGGCATAATAGTATATTTTAGTAAGTTTTGTTCTCGCTTAGTAGATTTTTTGAGGATCAGTTTGCTTAAAGGTGCCCTATGTAAAAATTGAGGTAAAATTATCCAAAAAATGAGCTACACGCATCAAAAGAATGAGAAGAAATAAGTGCAATGATGTCATTAAAAAATTGACAAGTTATAGTGCTGCCGAGATATAAACCTAAATTAGCATGCTAAATTACTAGCGCCGGCCCGACTGGTGTCGTAATACCAGTTTCGGCCATGGGAGGCGGTATGCGGGCAACATACATAACCACCAGCCAAACTGCAGTACACGAATAACTCGCACGGCTTGTGGGCGTACTTGAACCTGATGTCAATCGCGTCTATATGAGACCGGCCTTTATAATTTAGTGTTGAGATGTTGTTCATTGAGTCTCTAATCTCTAAAAATCTCCAAATGAACTGCGGTCTTACTATCGTGTCAATTGATTTGATTAATATGCGCGAGGGAGAGAGAGAGCAGGAGGAGTTGTTTGAAGACGTGAGAGTGCGCGCGCGCGGCCGGGGCGCTCTCTCTCCCTGCTCGTTATAAGCCCTGTCAAGCGCAGCAGTCATTCTATTCTACATCACTCACCGATCAAAATAGGCTTTGGCGGGACAAAGCGGACGATTTGACGGTTTTAGAAGATTAACAACCCGAAACTAAAAAACAGACTAGAGTAGGCCAACTTTCTGGAGGTATACTGCCCCCATCTGGTATGGAATATGTGGAGTATGAATTTATTTTTTGGCAGACATTCCACATGGCACCTTTAAAGGAATAGTTCACTTAAAAAATGAAAATTCTGTCATCCCTTACTCACCCTCAAGTTGTTTCAAACCTGTATGAAGTTCTTTCTTCTGTTGAACACAAAGGAAGATATTTTGAAGAATGTCGGTAGCCAGACAGTTGATGGACCCCATTGAATTCCGTAGTAGGAAAAAAAAATATATTATGGAAGTCAATGGGGTCCATTCACTGTTTGGTTACCGACATTTTTCAAAATATCTTCTTTTGTGTTCAGCAGAAAAAAGATATTCATACAGGTTTGAAACAACTTGAGGGTGAGTAAATGATGACAGAATTTACATTTTTAAGTGAACTATTCCTTTAAGCAAACTGATACTCAAAAAATCTACTAAGCGAGAACAAAACTTACTAAAATTTACCATGGTAACAATCATTTCTGCTACAAGTATTGTAACTGTATTCCACAGGAACTCGACTCGTGTCCAGCCAATGATTATAGACAGTTTATAAAGTTATAAATAAGGATGTGTTTCTACCAAAAACACATCACTTTGCTTCAGAAGGCCTTTATTAATCCCCTGGAGCCGCATACTGTGGATTACTTTTTATGATAGATGGATGGATGGATGCACTTTTTGGAGCTTCAAAATCTCAGCTTTTCACTCCCATCATAAAGCTTACAGCCAGGATATTTAATTTAACTCCAAATGTGTTTGGCTGGAAGAAGAAAGTCATATGGCTTGAGGGTGAGTAAATTATGGGATAATTTTCATTTTTGGGTGACTAAACTCTTAAACTATGGCATTTTGTATAGAATAGTCTAATATTCCATTCCAAACTACGGCACAAAAGTGCATAGGCTACTACATTTGTTGTGGAGTATTACGGTAGTCGGTAGTATAGGTTACATACCCCTTGTTGCCACAGCCCGGCGACGGAGAGTTGTGTCAAGCCTAAGAGTTTTGCTCCTCCTTCCTAAAACTCTGGAGGTGTTGCGCTCCTGCCATTCAGTAAAAACACCACCGTGTTCCTAAAGTTCAGACGTCTGGCTGGACGCAACCTGCACGGATCGCTGCATATGTTGTGTGTCAAAGCTTGCCTTCGGGAGAAATTATTCCTGCTCAAGGGAATGACCATACAAGAGTTTTGAGCTTCATTCTTTTATTCCGCGGTCTCTTGTGGATAAAACAACACACGCGTGCTTCACGTTTCGAAGTTTTACAGGTAAGCAGTGCAATAAATTATTTGTAGATTGCTAAATATGCCAGAATGTAAATATAAAAAAACTTTAAAAAACGGAGTATGGGTTGCACAAAACGGTTCAGATCGTCACATTGAAAATTGTTACATATGTCTAAAGACAAGTAAATTAATAATTAGGAATTAATTTTATTTCTGGAACTTTAATTTGTTTCCTTTTGTTAAGGAAACAATTTTGCCAGTAAAATGTCTGAACTTTAATCTACCTGTGCTTTTTGATGGTCTCGTGAGCTTAGTACTTTCAATAAAGGATTTTTATGAGTTTTTTTTTACTGGCAACTCAATATACCATCGTGCAAGTCGGTGATGATTGGTTGTGAATATTATTCTGTTTATCTCACTATCCCGCGGCAGCCGGTAGGCTACAATAGATACAACATAAACAAAACAAAATATAACGAATATTTTATATAACGATTTCATTCAGTATCGTAACTTAGGCTATCGGTCGTTACATCTACAAAACAAAGTGCTATATAAATAGTTTTTAAACAAATCTATATATCACACACACACACACACACACACACACACGACATTATTACCCAAGACAAAAATCACCAGCACAATCTTGAAAACTATTGACTGATATTCCTTTTAAAAGTAGGCCTATTAAAGGCTACCGCCTTTTTTTGTTATTAATGCAAGTTGATGTAGTTTGCACCACTATTGTATAGGATTAATATAAAATATAAGAGGGTTTGTATAAAAAAATCGTTTGTACATTATCATTATTGCTAAATTATGGTAACTCGCTTGTGATAAACATACAGTATGTATGCTGTCAATGTGAAGCCTGTTTAGATCAAGCTCCTAATATTTTCCCTGCAATGTCATTAAACTTCCATCCCCTTTCTCGCCCAAGCTGCTGGCATCTAAACGGGTGAGTTGTAATTAGTTTAGTTGCACAGGGTGGAAAGAAGATTATGCCCAGTTATTCCAGCTTTTAAACCCATTATTTTCATTGCTTCAAAGAAATCTCACAAGTTGAAGAGAAAGTTTTTTGTGGAGGACTCTATTAAGAAGTACTTTGGATCAAGGGTTGAGTGACATGCTGAGATTTTGGCCATTCATTTGAGTGATTCTGAATAGGTTTGGAAATCCTCCTCAGCTGTACGCCTCTTTCCTTTGCTCAGTGGTTGGTTAGAGGTCTGAGAGAGATGTTAAAATGGTCACAACCTTTAAATACCCACTAGATTATCACAACATATGAGGTGGTGTAGCATCTGTGAAGTTATTCAGGTTTTAGAATACACTCTTAAAAATAAGGTAGCGATACCATATAGAACAATAATTTTGGGTACCTCAAAGAACCTTTCAGTGGACAGTTCTTAAAAGAACCACTTTTTTTCATATTGTGAAGAACATTTTAATCATCTGAAGAACCTTTTTCCATTATATTGTGCTATGGGAAGGTTCCGGGGATGTTAAAGGGATAGTTCACCAAAAACTGAAAATTCTGTCATTAATTACTCACCCTCATGTTGTTCCAAACACGTAAGACTTTCATTCATCTTCGAAACACAAATCCCTCCATTGACAGTCTACGCAACTACCACATTTTTAAGCATGTCACTCACTTTAAACGTTTTACCACATATACCAATATATAACCTTTAATTTTTTAGAGTGTACAGGACTTTTGTTTTTCATTCTTTATAGTAAGTCCTTTAGAAACCACATTGGCAAGAACCCAGAAATCAATATGCTGCTCTGAAGTTTAATCTTTAAAGAACCATATAAGCATATCATGAACTCATACTCTTCGGAGAACCTGAGAAGTTGAGAATGCTTTAAAGAACCTTTGTTGTTGGTAGTGATGAAGTTTCAATATACAGATTGCACAACCACATATTCTTTCTGCAACTGACCCTTTGAGCAGCAAACCCAAGTTATCTGTTTGTTTAGTAAAATATTGTTTATGAATAACGTCAGAGCAGACCAAGAACCCAGCTGCGAGTTAAATCCGACCCGTCATTAGTAATCTGGGCCGCATTCCTTATATAGTTTGAGATAATATCTGTAGTAAGCATGTTAACACGTTCTTCTCGCTTTGTTTCGGTCAGAGTTAGAGATTAGCTGGAAGTCTGCCAGTCATCGTTTGGGAGAGGTAAATACGGAGGGGGCACTTGGGCTACGAAAGAAGGGACGAGCGTATGAGAAAAGCAAAGACAGAGATGCAGAAGGAGAGAAAGCAAAAAGCACAAGCAAACATTCCTGACGCGGTGTCTCAGCAATTTAATTAAAGGGACTAGTGGGACGTTAGAGTGGGCATTCGGAGGTGAAGGCTTAACCCCCCCCTGGCCAGGCTTGGACTAATCCCAAGGGTCAGCTAATAAGTGCTCGGGTCATGCCACCATGACAACTAAATAGGGGAGTATCTCAGATAGAGATTCCCAGTCACAGTTAATAACTGCATGATGGACGTTAAGACACAGTGAGCAGGAATAAGTGTGTGCAGATGCTGAGTGAAGATCAGCCTTATGGGCTGAGAGGTAGAGTCAAGTGTCTGACATCTGAAGATTATTTAGTTAGAAGCACTTTGATTGTAAAGATTGGGGCTTTTGTGTCTTGACTACGACTCTGGGTGTTGTTAAAGGTCAGATGGAAACTCTAGAAATGCTTTGCTTGTTGTTTGGATTATACTGATCACTCAAAATCACTAAAATATGTTGCAGTAGTGACTGCCAAAGCATGAGCCATTCTCCTAAAACATGGGATTTGATTTTCCTTTGGTTTCTTCCTCCTTGAAGTGTTGGCTAAACAAAGGATTGCAATACAGGAGCATTAAAGTTGACACAATGGAATAACATGCAACATTAGTGTCAGAGAGCTCAGAACAATTTAAACACCTGTCATTCAGAAGTTCGATATTTTCTGCACCTTATGTTCTTTTATCAAATATTTTTGCTAATTGTATTATGCTTTCAGCTACTGTTATAAATAAATTCAGCAAATTTTACCCTAAAAAATCAGTTTAAATATTTATGTATGTTTGCAGATTCCATAAAGGCCTGTAAAAAAAAAATCTTTTAAAATATCAAAATTACAGTTGTAATCGAAATTATTCAAGCTCTTACTGTGCAGCTGAAACATCAGTGCCTGTTGCCACCAAGTCTTGCTGCAGTCAAACGTGACACTAAACAAACCTAGCCAGTTCAGATATTTCATGTGTTCTAGCTCAAGCACACCTGGTGCAACTAATGAAGCCCTTGAATAGTTGCATCAGGTGTGCTTGAGACAACAAGCTTTGAAGATCTGTGCTGTAGTGAGGGATTCTATTCAGGGGGTTGAATAATTTTGAGACTGTAGAAGTCACTAAAAGTGGCATTTTCAGTTGAATTTGGGGAAACCACTTGAAACATTTTTTTGTGTTGAGCTATTTCAATTACTTCTGTTTGATTTGTTTATTGCAAACAGCTGGAAGTCTGTACATTTTGCCAATAAACCTGCAATGGGGGTTGAATAATTTCGATTACTGTAGGATGATTAGTTTTTCTGGAACACAACCAGCAACAAGAATGAAAAAATAATAATTATATATAAACATCCAGTTCAGGAATGTTTAAATGTTCATGTTGGAATCCATATGGGAGAGAATCTCCATGTTCTCCATAATCTGTAAGATGAAAATTTTTATCTTTTTTAGGATTGATTTATGAAGTTGAATGGATGACGTTTTCTTCAATAACTAACAATGCTACTAACCTAACTACCTTTTTTCAGAGAGGCATTGTACTCAAATATTCAGTTAAATGTTGCTGTTCATTAGCCTACTATGTTTTTGAGTTCTGTTTTTTAGTTGTATGCATCTAGTATAAATGTATTTAAACTTAAACTTAGATTTGATATTTAATAATGAATATTTTTTATTTGGGTGCCTGAACGTAATACATATAATTATTATAAATGATATAATCAGATAATTATATTTTGAAAGATACTGTCCCCTTAAGTAATTCCATAAGTACTTCAATGCTAGCTAACTACTTTTAACACTTTATTTTAAGGTGACGTAGTTACATTGAAATGCATATTACAAGTAACTAAACCAAACCCTAACCGTAACTCTATACTAAGTACATGTAGTTAATTATTATTACTCAGTACTTATTTGAGTAGCCTAAGTACAATGCAACTACGTCACCTTAAAATAAAGTGTAACCCTACATTTTAAATAAGAGTAGCTTGAGTGTAGTTTAACTACTTTGAATTATGAGCTGTGTAGTTTCAAAATAGCTTCCCCCAAAACTGCTGACAAGAGATAAGGGAGGCTGGTGAAGAAAAGCTCAAATACTGTATTATCTCATGTTGTGGCTTTTAGGATTTATTTTATGTATGTTCTTTTGTGGTGTCCACTTGTAAAAACACAGTTTAGATTGCAACCCTGCTGTTTGAATGATCATGAGCGGAGTGAAGGCAAGAACCAATGCCAAGAGCAACAAAGAAATATAAACACGCATATAAATCACAACAATTAATCAGAAAATGTTAGAAATAAGCATGAAGGAGATTGCATGCAACACTAATATACGTAATAACATAAAACTTACTCCCATCATAGCTTAATATGCAGCAGAGACAACTATACATAAGGCATTCGTTGGTTGAATCCCCTGAAAAGCATAAACACTAGCGCTTTCAAAACATTCCTCTTTTTTTTTTTTGCACATCCTGACCAGCAGCACATAGCAACACTAGCTCGACCAATAGTGTGAGTGTGAGGCGGGGCTATCCGTTTATCCAGCCAATAGAAGATATAGAGTGCTCAGGAAACCTGTTTGGAAACAATCATTATTTAGCTTTTTTGGGGGGAAACTATACTCTTCAACTTTAAGGATACAAACTGCATAAGAAAATCACTAAGAGACATCTCTTCCACTCTTGTTAAAATCATTATTTCTTTTTCTGAATGTGAGCTGTAACCTAATGATATTTGCTTGAAGACAGAGAGTTATGTCCTT